AAGGAGCAGAGAAGAGCCACAAAAGTGATCTGATGAATAAAAGCCTTACAGTGAGAGATTTAAGATGCTGAATCTATTTAGCTTATCAAAATGATCAAGAGATAACTTGATTTTAGTGCATAAGTTCCTTCACAAGGAGAACATACCACTTACTAAAGGGTTCTGGGGTGGGCCTGGGGATGAGGGGCTCATGGTGCAGGAGGGGGGCTCAGAGCTGGGGCAGAGAGTTGGAGTATGGAGGGGGTGAGGGCTCCAGCTGGGGGTGTGGGCTATGGGGTGGGGCTGTGGCAGAGAGAGAGGACGCCCCCCAGCCCTCTCTTGCTGCAGCAGACTGGGGTCAGGAGAGAAGCACCTCTTTCCCCGCTGCGGCAGCTCCGGGCCAGGAGAGAGGCGCCTCTCCTTGGCCGTGGCAGATCAGGGCTGCGGCCAGGGGAGAGGTGCCAGTCCCCGATCGCAGCAGCTCCGGGGCTGGGGAAGAGGCGCCTTTCCAGTCCAGGCCCCCGGGGCTGTGTTGCTATGCGACCCTTGATAGTCTGCTGCGCGGTCACATGGCCATGCAACTTAGAGGAAACTTAGTCTTGGATCACTAAATCTATCTTGCCATGGAGTCACAGACAGTCCCCTTAGACTCTACAGTCTATCTTGTCACCTAGACAAATTGGACTGGATAATTGGTCACTTAGACCAAAAATCACACCACATTTACGTTTCTTCCAGTCCCAAGAGACCAGTCACATACCCCAGATTAGTTAGTACCCTGGATCTTACAACAAAGACAATGCCTGTAGCCAATCCTGTAATAAACTATATACACGTCTATTAAATAGATAAAAGAAATAAAAGGGTTAATTACATGGTTAAAGCAAGCAATCATCTACACACAAATGAGTTACCATTTACATCCTAGGAGTGACCGAGTCGTAGCGATCTGTCAATTCCAAATGTCCTTCAGCGCTGACCCAGGGGTAACCCCTTGGGGTCTCTGGCTTCAGTTTGGTGTCTCTAGCCCTGTCACAGTTCAAACAGACGAAAAGATGAACAATTTTCATGTCTACTATTTTCATTTCCCTCTTCCAGCCTTCAAAGCGATGGGACGAGGCCTTCTGCATGTGCTGCTCCCTGGGTGCGATAAGGCCATTAACCAATCCTGTATATTGTGATGATCCTTGATGGCCCATCTGATTTTGATATTCCTTGGGGATGGAAGGGGGGATGATTCCTGTGC